AAAATCCCCATGCATTAGCAGCCACACAGATCAACCAATTAAAAAGACACCCTCCACAAAAAGTTTGCTTCACAGCATTCCATCTGCTTGGACAATATAGTGTCACTCTCACAAGGCTTGTACAAAAGTACCGCCCAGCACAGTCCAGTCCACCAGCCCATGGTATCGTGATCCCAAAGACTCGTAGCTTCTCCTAGTCATTTCTTCCCACTATTGTACAAGATATTACAAGGCCGTGGCATCCTCGTCTCTCATCTGGCATGGGCCAACGTTGGACCCGAGCTCATCATTGCCTGTCTCATATCCCCCTCCTCGTTTCCGTAGTTCACAACCCGTTTACTCCCATGCTTGCTCGCTGTAATATTTGCTCTCGTGTCGTGGGAGCCAAGCACTCGGTGATTGTGTTTGGACAGCGCGAGTGCTGGTGTGGTCCTATCTAGACGGCCAGCTCGAGGTCCAAAGAGATTGGTTCGAGTCTCCTCCCAAAGCGTCTGACAAGCCGGCAAGCTGGTCACAATGTAGATGATGGTATTCCAAAACCCCTGCAGTGGAAGCACCAGACCCGAAGCAAAGTCGAGTCCGAAGACAGAGTCATCTGGCCAGACCAGAGTATACACTCGGTTGACGGTGGAAGGAACCCTGACTTTGTCAGTCCAGGCAGCTTATGAGATGTAGAACAAATACATACCATGTGCAGAGGAGAGCAAGGAAGAACAACATTGCCGTTTTGCAATAACTCATAGTCGCCTTGTTCGCGTCCAATGTTCGAATTGGTGGTCTCTCCACAACCACATTGGTGTTTGTTTGGGCTACATTTGTAGATGGCGCATCCTCGTGGTAGGTGTTCCGTGGGGACCTCAAATTGCGCTGTTGGCTCGGTGCATGCGAGTGAGGAACTTGACTGCTGATGGTGACCTCATACGTCTTTGGAGACACAGGAGAGGTCGGCAGTTGATTCATTGCATAGCCGTTGGACGGAATATCGGCTCTGGCCTCGCTCTGATTCAAAGAAAGGAGGTGCCTGCGCCAACGAAAGACTACCACGCCCACCTTGACGTAGATAAACATGGTCACAAGAATGATCAGCCACACTGGTCCATAAAAGGTTGCGATTCGGAGCGCATTCCACTCCGTCGAGACCCAGCACCAGAGCTGTGAAAGAGTTAGCCAGCACAACCTCCATGGCAAGACACACATACGACTGCATCCCCATACACTTTGCCCTTGCCGTCAGAACTGACAAACAAAAACACCAAAGCTGGCACAAAGGGAACACCATAGCAGGCTCCTAGGTATCTCCACTCCAGGCCTCGAATTTGCGACGCGTCGTACTGTCGAAAGAAGGAGAGGTACACATTGCACGCCATGGCGAAGGTCCATAGCGCATCAGCAGGCAAGAACCTATTTCAGCATGAGCAAGGCCGACAGAATGAGGGGCAGCAAAAATCTCACCAGTGAATCAAAAAGCCCTGGAATTGACACAACGGGGATGTCACCCCCAGCTTGATGCCAGACCTCGCAATCAGGGTCGCCACATTGGCAAACAGGTTCCCCCATGCAGCATAAAACACCAGTCGGTTGATGGGTTTCCGAAACTTGCTGTCTGAAAGAAACGTCGCAATGATGAATGCGGCTCCAAAAACAGAAAACACAGAGGTCACTCTCTCAGTCGCCACCAGGGCATGGTCCTGTGAGGCTGTAATAGCCATGTTGAACGCGATATGGAGGCTGCGACCAGACGAGCATACCGAAACAAGCTCAAGAGGGTCCAAGGTCAAGACTTTGCGGGTTGCGGGGGAATCGACCTGCTTTTGTCTCTGTCTGCATCGATATGCCACTGTATGTATAACGTCTGTGTCCCAGGGATCCAGGGACCCAGTGACCCAGTGACCCAGTGACCCAGTGACCCAGTGATCCGTAGTGTCCTCGTTCACTGTTTGCCACAGAAGTGGCCAAGGGGTTGCAACTTCACCCGTCTCCACAACCACCACCACCGGGGTCAGAAATTTTCGAGAAGCAAGCCGTCTCCGCCAGGGCAACTCGGTCGATTCGCTGACATGTGAGAGAGACAATGACTCTGCCGGGGTCGGTCTGGGGACAGAGGACGGTGGTCGACATTGAAACGGCTAGAATGTATCGGGGATGCGCCTTCCGTATGTGCAGTGGTGGATCTAGCAACGACTCCACCGGTGGAGCGGAAAGAGAAGTTACTATGGTTCATTGATCAACGTTGCAGAAATTCGCAATGGCACGAGCCGGGGTGCTGGGGTGCTGGGCGTCATTCCGCAAGTGGTCATAGTGGCAGTGGTAGTAACAAGGAGAAATGCCCGAGGTGCAGCAGATGCCCTTGCCATGCCGTACTCAGAATGGGAAGATGATGCAGGGTCACATAATCGTCTAGATCAGACTGTTTGATCGACGCAAGGTTGTTGACCTTTGGGAGAGGCTGGTTGTCACATGCGTGGGCAGTATTGAGATAGCCAGGACTCCCATCATGTGCGCTGAGATGTATGAGTAACGTCCGAGAAGGACAAAGAGGTGTTTTGCACTTCCGACCTGTAAGTCAAAGTCAAGGGCATGATTTGCGCCGTCTGCACCATGTCTGTGTCAAGGACAGGAAAAGGTCTGGGGATTTCATGCTCTAGAGAAGCCCTCACAAGACCGCGCTCGGTTGCTCGGCAAGACTTGAGAGGGCAAGACTCGAGACGATTGTGCCTGAACGTAAAGACTGCGGGTGGGGACACCCTTTTCCCCAGGTTGAAGAAGACGTCCAGGACGGTCGGTGTAAAGGAAGCTACTGCAGGTACAAAAGTCCCAGACGAGGCCTAATCCGACCGAAAAGCCGGGGACATAACATTCGAGTCGCGTGATAGACAATAAGTTAGGAGTACTCGTACTTGGCTGCGCTGGACCAAGACTAATGAGGGAAGGTGCTATATTGACTGTTTCGACGATTCGCAGGGAATGGCTGGTAGGATTGCGCGAGTGAAACACCATATCGTAGCAATAGAAGAACGAACAGTTCATCCCACTGGCCGCCTGATTGCGTTCCGGGGTTGAGCCTCGAGTGTTGACTGGTGTGGCGTCATAAAGGTTTCCACCGGCGATGAAAAATCAATCCCAACGCCTACCGAGACAGCAGTCTAGCACGGCCTGACTAGTCCATCTGAGGAAACGGACTATTGAAACACTGGGTCGTAGAGAATGGTCAAGGGTACCCAGTTGCATGAACATGCCCAGTGACCCATATCTGATTCTGTGCGTGCGCCTATGACTTTTTCAAGCTCTGACAATAGACTGAGACTTGCGATGCTCAGAGTAGGTGAAGGGGAGGAACAACTTTGTAGTCGGGGTGTCCGACCAGAACCCGTTGAACGCGCGAAACAGCTCTTTCTATATTTGACCATCTGACTCCTTTCACCTGTTTTCCGACCTGTATCTGAACTAGGCTACCATCACGGCCGGGTACGGGCTTTCCTGTAACTAAAATATGATCGTGGAGGGGTTGGTTTCCTGCTTGCTGCATGAGATTTCCACAGGGCATCAGTACTCGGTACTGAAGCAATCCCATGACTTTGCAGTGTGGGGGCTCGTGGTGGAGGATCCAAAATCTGACGGTGGGAATTTCTCAAGGTACGAGGGAGATCATAATTGATGTTTGTGTCATTATCGGTGGACTTGATGATCGTCATTCCCCCAGAGACAGTGGATGGGCGGGTGGGTTGGTGAGTATCCCAGTGCATTGTCATGTCAGGGGGGTGAAAGACGCTCCCGCCCTGTTGGGTACGTGGTCCACATTGCATTGTGCGAGTATCCCAGTGAGCCTGGTTAAACGGTCAAAAGGGGGGACAATACCACAGGGGGATTAGTAGTAGTACCCGAAGCAGCTGCTGCAGCTGCAGCAGTATGGAGTGTCAAGGGGGCAATAGTGGTAGTAGTGGGTGGCCACTGACCAGGTGCAAGGGAGACGATCCCGGCTAAAAGGGAGAGAGAGAGAAAAAAAGCCTTCGACATCAAAAGAGGATGTTGCCCCGAGGCTGCCGCCACGAGCCACACTTACTTCTCCTCTGCCTTTTTATTTGCTCTCAGTGGCGCTTTGGTGATGGGGGAATATTATACGAGGGGTTGCAAGCTGTAAATTTATTGTATCGTGCTAGTGTGTGACCGAGTAGAAAGTAAGCCAAGGAACCAGTGGCTCCAACGGTCACGGACCTGTAATTCCACACATTATATCCGACTGACGAGTCCTCAGCGCAGAGATCGCAACAAAGGTCTCCTCGTAGGTATTCGTGGGATGGTACACAACAACTTGAGATGAGACGAACGATTGCCTGCGAGCCAGGCACACACACAGATACACGTATGCTGGGCGGGTAGCATTCATCTCGGCGTCACCGACTGTATGTACTGGGGTTCCTGACCTTCCATTCCCACATTGGTTGCAATCTACAGTACCTACGAGCAAATCCCCTGTCTCCTTTTTTCGTCATGTCCATTGCTCACTTCCTCAAAGTATCCAGCAATGACGAATGGGGGGTTCGGACAATACCCATTTGGGACGAAAGAGTGGCAGTTCTATCCAGCTCGCCAGAAGTTCTGGGTGGTATCGAGTACATATGTACGAGCGCAAAAGATCTGCACTGATCAGCAGCAACTTACCTACCTAGGCTGTTGTTGAGGGACCAGACGAAGATCGCTGAACGAAAACCAATCAGCAATCAATAGGATAAATCGTGAAGAAATGAAACCCTGTGATAAAAGTGGGAATGTCGCCGACTGCGAGGCTCCAGAGGTCCCATTTTCAATACCTTTCCCTCAAGACGTATAAATAAACGAACGCCATGCAAAGAAGCCGAATCCTTCATTCAACGTCTCCGCTGGTAACGCGATAACTCAATTCCTTGACCATGACACCACAGACCACATAACAGCAGGTTCATATTTGCCCGTCTTGCTAACAAGACAAAATGATCCCAACGACCAAACGGACATCATAGTGCTCATCTCTTCCCTGCATCATTCTTCGTGTGATACCTGGGCACCCTCTCATAAGCATTAGGGCTAGGTTTTCTCCTCCCCTTGCCCTTCCCATGATCACAACCGTCGTTATGATTATGGTGGTCACGAGGATGGTCGTGTTTTCTCCCTTTCCGGTTCCCGCTCATTCTCGCACCGCCGTCGTCAGGACTGTCACTACCGCCCGCATCGCTATCACTATCACTCGAGGAATCACTCGAGCTGTCGTCTTCACTGGAACTCTCGCCAAATTCCCGGGGTTTGTGGTAAATGCAGCACACTTTGCTTGATTTTCTGCCCAGCCCTTCGTTGTCTACCACGTCTTCTGCCCAAGTGATCTGTCTGCGGCGCCCTCGACTCGTGTTTGTGCTGGATCCGGCAGCGGTGGCATCATGTGCCCCACGGAGACGCAGGATGAGCGGTTCGGGCGAGACTGATCGTGACGAGGCGGAATCGACCGGAGTGACGGTCTGGGTTGCCGAACCTGACGTGACGCGCCGCGAAGGCGAAGCTGCGAGCAAGGATGGGCCTATATGTCTGGCACCGGTTGGTCTGGACGGATGATGGGACGAATTCATGGCTGATGGTTGACCCGACGGGGCTGTAGATGAGGACATGGTGAACCCGAGAATTCGCGCAGGGACTATAGTGTCGGTCGGTCCTTTTTCTCTTTGTCTGTGAGGCAGAAATGAGATTTCGACTCGATCGTAAGTACGACGAAAGGTAAGATCGTAGATAATGAAGGACTTTCGACACTCAGGGTCTAAACAACAAGAGATGTTTTGGTAATTTGAAGTTGTGAGGTAGTATGTTGTAAGTAGCGGGCTGAAATTGCAGCTCGTCAGAGGTTGTGGTGGAGTGGCGTGGCGGGCGGAGCGCATGCACACAAACAGCAGAAGCGTATGTATCTATGAGCTGGAGGCTCAAACACAATAATGAAGGGAGAAATGTGACTATAAGACCCCCTCGCAATAATCGAATTGTCTCAGCGAACGATGACCAGTGACCGGTGAATGAACGGCGAGGATGAGGGAGTTTTATTCTGCTTCGCGAGGATGATATGATGTCTCTGTATTGTCCTGTACCGAGTATTCGGTAGAAGGGGATGAATGTTTTTTGGGCGTGGAAAGAGGTGCAAGATTGGCGGGACTGCAGATCGTTGGACGTGGGCTTGGGCGCGGGGCGAGGCGAACGGGCGGGCAATGGCAATGGTAATGGGAACGGGAATGTGACAATGGCACGAGATGACGCCGAATAATAAACAAATTTCGCTTCGCTACTCGCTTCGTATTTGCTGTGTGTGTGCGTGCGTCCTTTCCGGACCTCGTAATGATGCACACGAACCCCTTGATGACCCCTACACTTATTAGTTGGACGAGTTGAGAGGGTCCCGAAAAAAACAATCAAGTGACGTCCCTTTGTTTTCGTCCCCCGCTAATTGTGCTTCTGTGCATCTGCATGCCTTAGTGCCCGCTTTTTCCCATCCATCCATTCAACCTCCTCCAAGCTGGCTGGCTGACCGGACTGGCTAGCTGGAAGGCTGATCGATTATTCTTGCTTGTTACAGTAACCACCTACATACCTCACTTCTCACATCTCCAGTATTACTACTATACTCGTACTCGGTCGCTACTCGCTTCGGTTCGCTGCGTTACGTTGCGTTGCGTTCCTTTTGGTTGGGCTTCTCACGCACCGCTGACCTCCCTGCCCGCCTTATCGCATACTTGTATACGAGTATACCTACCGTCCTACATACCTAACTACCCAGGTAGGTAACAAAGATGAGACCCGGACCTCACTCGTACATAATTGTCCGTGCGGGACATGCAGACAAAGGGGCCTGCTACAGAGCTGACCGCATCACATGCATGCATGCTTGCCTGTCTGGCTGCCCTACCTGGCCCGTCCATACATCTACATCTACCTACATCCCTTACTTTACTGCATCGCTTAGCCTTGTCCAACGTGACGCCGGCTCGCTATCATCGTCGCCATAAATACCCGCCTGACCACATGGCCTCGGGGCCTTGCCCTACGACCTGCATCCAACTGCGTCCGACTGCATCCCAACGTCCTGCAGACCTCACTCCACGTGCCCCTAGATCGAGTCCGTGTACCGTCTCACGTGGTCCTTGCGAGGAGCTCTAGAAGAGCCTGGAACTTGCCAACAACGGCTCTTCTTAGCTCTTCCAAGAGGTCAGGGAAAGGCTGGAGGCTGTCGTCCTACTACACACTCATTGTACTACTCTATTCTGGTGCCACAAACGGCCATTCGGCCTCGTTCAAATCTCCAATCTTCGTATTATTCGGGTGGCCTCATTCTCAGCTCCCATCTAGTCATCTAGCAGCTCATACTCTTGATCAAACCGTCTCTGCTCTTCCCCCCTGAACTCTGGGCGCACTCGATTCGATACTTCTGGTGGTCTTAAACCCCCTCCTTCCAATCGCCGGTGGTTTCCAGGGCCGAGTAGGTAATCCCCAAGAGATGTGTCGCGAGTAACACTCTAACCGACTGACCCGAGGACCATGCTTTTTGGTATCATAACACACATCAAGCAAAACAAGGTATGCATTTTCTCATCCATCTCTGCCTGTTCCAAACAGCTCCTCCCTTGCTCCATCGTGGGAGCCGTCTTCGAGACGAGTGCCTCAACACTTGTAGAAAACCCATCCACTCTCAAAGTCCTCGTCGGGTGTCGACCTTTCCATCGCATAGTGTTCGACCGAGGCTTCGGCAGCGGCAGGTTGTTCTGCTGCGCGTATCGCGAATTCCGTCCGTAACTCTTCTTCTAGTCACAGCTCATCGTCCTGGTCCAGATCGGCCGGTTTGATGAGACCACCGACCTTGAGTGCTCGCTCTCTTTCTGCCTCGGCCAAAATCTTCTTTTCTTGTTCGCGTTCTTCGGCATACAGCTCTGCATTGTCCCCAGCAAATTCTTTGAGGGAGATCAAGAAGTCACGCACGTGAGTCTTGAATTTGGTGGCGTCCTCATTGAGTGTGAAGAGACCATTGACAAAATGCTGTACTTGGATCTCCTTGAGATTGGGAAACGCGCGTTGCAGCAGGTTCGAGGTGAATTCGCTAACAAACTGCTTGTTGGAAGTCCCAGGAGCAGCCTGGTCGGGTTGATACAGTGGCTGCGAGATCTTGTTGGTTTCGACAAGCTGGAACATCCGTGCCAGCAACATGCATTGAGATTTGAACCCTGCTTTGTGGTCCGAATCGGTGAGGACGAAGAACACATCCTGCAGGATGGAGATGTAGAACTGTTGGAAGAAAATACCCGCGGTCTGGGGGTCTGTCTCGGCCATGTTGTTGATCAGCTCCAAACACATGGACAAGCCAGTGTTCTCAACCTCGCGGTTATCGTGTTTGCTCGCCCACATGCAAGAGTCGATGACAAACTTGAATTGACGACCGTCCAGTTTGAGCAGAGCTGGGAAGCAGAACAAATTGATCGCTTGTAGAAGCTTGAAAAATTCGACTCGGAACTCGGGGTACTCGTGGAAGTCCTTATTGATCATCTCCAGCGTGCACTCAAAGATGCTGTCCATGATTGGACCAATCTTGTCGTCCATCAGGTTCTGTAGCAAGTCAGTAAGATGCCTGGGAGGAAGCATAGCGTCTCTGACCAAATGCCGAGATCTCTTTGGGGTCCAACGTACATGTAGCTTGTGGATGATTGTGGTGGTCACACTGAGGACTTCAGCGTCCCGAGCATCTGGAACGTTGCGTTGATAGTCAAGCAAGATGGCATCGAGCAGTGGCGGCACCATGCTATCATTGACCATTTGCAGGTCATCCGCTTTTTGTACATAGATATCGACTAGCTTCAGAATCTCTTTCTTGATCGTGCGCAGGCCTCGGACCTTTGGAGTCTTGGTCTGGACATTGCCTAGAGTTCACATTAGCACAAGCGCAAACAAGCGTCCGGCCTGACTCACCTCCAGACGCGACAGCATCGGAAATCAGCTGGCTTGAAGCCCGGTACATATTGAGCATATCATGGTAAATGCGGCCGATCTGGGAGTAGAAATAACTGCCGATGGACGAGCATGCTGCGACATTTGTTTTCATGATGTTTCCCACCACTTTGATGATCTCCGGATCGTGGAGGATGGCGGGATTGGCATTCGCTTGCTGAATCACACTGTCCCAGGCTTGGTTGGGATAAGACATCAGGTCGCTGATCAGTCGGTCTTGGACGCTCTTCTGGCCTTGGGCAGAGATCATGTAGCCACAAGCCTCATAAAAGGTGTGAACTTGCTGAGGAGTCAAGTCACAGGTGATCCTGCGCATATTACGCACAATCTCATCGATGAAGGGCTCCGTCTCGCCGGGCTGGAGAGCTACGAAATGGCGCTTGCATTTGTTGGCAATCTTGATGAACGTGTCGCAGGCCATGTCTTGCACTCCTTCGTGGGTCTCGTGCATAAACTCAAAGAGTTTGTTCACCACCGTCTTCAAGAACTTCCAGTGCGCCTTCAGGAAACGTGGGTACTGACCCACAATATACATGATGTTGCTGGCCACCACGGCTTTGTTGTCTTTGCCACGCTTCATCTCGGTCAAACCAAGCAAGTCTTTGATGACCGTCACCAAGAAACGCTTCTCCGTCTCTTCAGACATGGCTCCTGATATCGAACCAATGGCCCAGCAGAGAGTATTGCAGTTGTTCCACGACCACTCAGACCCGTCGACTTGTCGTTGAAGCTTGTCAGACATGATTTGCTCAGTATCAACAACATCCAAGTGCGTCAGATACACCAGACATTCACGGGTGGTCTTGTAGAGTTGGATAGTGTCGCTCTCCTTGACGAATTCACGCACAATTTCTCCCTCGTCATTTTCCACGATGAGAACCTCCTCTGGTCGGACCATCTTCTCCACCATCACCTGTCTCAGACTTGACAACACTTGAGCATACTTGTGCTTGCGGAGTGGATAATTAGCCAACGTGCTCGGATGAGGTGCACCGCCATTAGCGAGTCCACTAACACCCATGTTGACCAAGGGATTGAGCTCAGTGATCGGGAGTTGCTGCATTTCTTCATACAACTCTTGGACTAGTTTGTTCCAGTATTCGAGACAAATCTTGAAGATTTCGCGGTCGTCGATCAGACTGATCTTGATGAGATAGAAGTGGCCATGCAGGAGAAAGTCAGGGTTTGGTAATCTCTCAATAGTCTGAAGGTGTGCGGAAAAGTAATTCGTGAGAAAGATCGCGAGGTTGAGGATATATTCTTGCTCTGAAGACTTGGCTTTGGCATAGGCCTCTCGAAAATCTGTGTCGAGGGAGAGGGTTCTGGCAACGACGGTGAGGGTTTCGGTGAACATCTGGACAAGCTTGTCATCATATTGGTATTGTTGTCCCAACTGCAAGCCACCGATTTCCGTCAAGCATTTGAGAGTGATGTTGCGAAATTGATCCACTTCGAGGAACCTGGTGACGAGGGTGTCGATGAGCTTTGTTTCGAAGATGAAGCCGAGGGGAATCCAGTTCAGAAATCGAAGCAATGTCTCCAGAGTTGCCTTGACTAGGCTGACCGAGTCGGCTGTTGTAAGGATGTCATTGCAGAGTTGAAAGATGGACGAGAATTCGGCGCACATGGTGGT